CAGCACTTCCCAGCTTTGCAGAACACCCACTGAAGTGAATCAGGGGTTGAAGGAGGTGCTTCCTCCCCGAGTCCTGCCATGCAAGGCTGGCCTAGCCCCCATTATCCTCTCCAGTTGCCCCTGGTCCCTCCCCTGCAGCCATAGCTGCTGGATCCTGCCCACCCAGGCCCGTCAGGTAAGCAGAGACGTCAAGCTCCTCTTGTGGGGCCTCAGAGCCTGGCTGGGCCAGGGGAGGGGGAGAGGCCTGCAGGGAGGCACTGATGGGCTGGTGCTGTGTCCCAAACCTGCACCAGCCGCGCTGCCACCATGGCAGGGAATGCAACACTGCCTCCCACCTCGAGTGAGAGGCTGCAGGTACCCCCTCCAGCATCCCTCTAATACCCCTCCCAGTACACACACACACCCCTCCAGCACCCTCCTAATACCCCTCCCAGTACACACACACACCCCTCCAGCACCCCCCAAATACTCCATCCCAGTACACGCCCTCCTCCAGCCCTCCCCCAAATACCCTCTGCCAATAAACATACACCCCTCTAATACTCCCATATATCACCTAGCAATGCTGTAATTTATCATTAGTATCACGTAAACTGTCAATATTTTAATTTGCTGTGTTTTTTGTTGATCTGTTCACATAATAATAATTTCTCTATAGTAATATTTGTGATAACTACTAAAATAACGTGAAAGAAACAAATAATGAGAAACAAAATAATGAAGGGGGATCTGCAGGTTTGTCTATTTAAGTTTAGGGCTCCCTGGTCAAAAAAAGGCTGAGAATCATTGAGGTAAGGTACGGGCCAAGAGCATACCAAGTGTCCCTGAGGAAACAATGGGGAAGCTATTAATTGGGGAATACCCCTTGCCTGGCTGCAGCTAGGCTGGGAAGGTTTATTCTTCCTAGATCAAAACCCAGGATGGCTGTGTTTACACTGCCACTTTCAGTGCTAAAAACTTTAAGTTTTAGTGCTGAAAAGCACCAGTATAGACAGTGCTTTATCACCGGGAGCTACCACCACTCGTTCGGGGTGGTTTTGGGTTATTTTTAATTGCCGGGAGAACTCTCCCCTGGCAATAAAGTGTGTCTGCGCTATAACATGGGCTGCGTAGACATACCCGATCAAAAGAGATACTACTAAAACCTTAAAGATTCTGCCCTAGGGAAGAAAGGGTTTGAATGGGCAGCAGTTGGTAGAGATGGCTCTCTTACAGAGAGACTCACAGAAGATGTGCTACAACTCAGCAGTCTGCTTCTCCCAGGCCAGAGACTGAGACAACTGGGCTGAATGAAACTTACCAAACCTTGCCAAGAAAAATTAAGGGTTAGGTAAGGAGAAATAGGAGTTAAATATGTTTTAACCCTTGTCTCTAACTGCTATGTATCTTTGGGTGAATGAATACATAATTCTTCGTTTTGAAGAAGCTGCTTTTGAATCACATTAATCAGCCACTGTCACAGGCTCCCAGAGGAAAAGGGCTTATAGGTGCCAAACAGCTGAGCCAATTGGGTTAACGCAGATGGTAAATGGGGGTTTGCCGCTCAGAGATTCAGTCTAAGAGTGGTAGGACTGCGCAGTTTCACCAGAGAGGAGTGAAGGTAGAGAAACATGTCCCCAAAGGTATAGACTTGAGAGGCACTAAACAGGGACTAAAGTTCAGCTCACCCTGTAATTGTGACGATAAGTATAAACAACAGGATTTGGCTTTCAGCCTTCCATCATAAAGCTCTCTCTCTTCATTGGGGGAACACTTGAGAAGAACAAGCTTCATATTCTGTATTTCTCAAGACTACGTATGGGCTTCATCAATGCCTTCCTCTTTTAACAGTCATTTTAAAACTAGATTTGCCTCCATCCTATGCAAATAAGTAGAAAAATAAAAGCCAATTAAAGTCATAGAGTGCTGTAAAATTTTGCTTGAAGAGTCACCAATCGCACACAGGAAAATTAGCGAGACATTCTGCTATGGTAATACAAATAATAATACTTAGAGAAAATTATTTGGATTTCTTTTGTTACTACTAGTAAAGGGTATTTGCATAAAAAGGGAACATTTGTTGCTTGCTGGCTCATGTGCTGCTGGATTCTTATTGGCTCAGTTGTGTGACGCAGACCAGAGCTTACGTCAAACTCTCAGCTATTTGGATATTGGGACATAGTCTAAGTATGGCTCTGTTTAGGTGTTTCTACTTACTGAAAAGTTACACACACACACACACACACACACTATTGCTTCTCATCTATAGATCTCAAAGTATTTTGCAGAAGTGTGTATTGTTATCCCCATTTTACAGATTTCAAACTGTAGACAGGAAGGATGATTGGAGTCTGTGGGCACTACCCCAATACAAATAATAAGTAACTTGCCTATGGTTTCGCAGGGGAGTGAATGACAGAGCTGAGAATACAACCCTGGTCTCCAACTCACAGTCCAAGAGTTTATCCAATGGACCTCACTATTTGCCCAGAACAGACATTCACCACTACGTGATGATCTGTGTGATATAAATTCCAAAACACACAATACCTTACATATGTCATGCACCTTTAACCATTCACCTGCACCCCTCCCTCTAATCTATTTCTACCAAGACTACTTGTAACAATCTAAACTTCTGAATTATTTTCATATAGCAGCCATTTTTGTGTGGAACCGAGATTTTATTGGCACTCATCTGGGATGAGCTGCTTAATACAAATTACTTCAATTGAAGAAAGAAGAACAGGAGTACTTGTGGCACCTTAGAGACTAACAAATTTATTAGAGCATAAGCTTTTGTGGACTAC